AAAAGAGAGTACTATGTCTTTGCTCCAACATTCCCAGCAAATGTCTCAAGTCTTACTCTGATTGGACCAACCTAAGTCTTATACCCATTCCTGAACCAGTTATTGAGGCTAGGAAGATGGAGTGCTCAGACAGACTTAACCTAAGTCATGAGCTCTGCTCTTGGGTGAAGGCGTTGGAGGGGGAGCAGTCAAGCTTCCCCAAAACCACGTGGTTCCCCAAATGGAAATGGAAACTGCTGAGAAAGGAGAAGGGAGGCATGCATGCTGGGACTCAGCCAAGGTCTTCTCTGTGAATGGACTGGAAGTCAGTGTTTAGGGAGATGATGGTCAAGGATGCAGGGTTCTGGTGATTTTGCTCACTGAGGTGGGGAGCAAGAGAAGCGGGTTTATGGAGGAAGGTGATGTGTTTGCAGGGCCTGAGAGACAGCTAAGGGGTGAAGCCAACTAGAGAGTTGATCGGCCAGCCTGCAGCTCAGAACAAAGGTATGCGTATTGTTGACTTACCTGATCCCAAAACTTGCTCTCTTAATCAGAAGGCATATTTTATATTAGTTTTGAAGTCTGTTCAATTGCCATAGCAACTCTCCATGGCCAGGGAGCATTTAATCACTTAATGGTAATATTTATATCTCACTTATAATCTATGTTCTTTTAATGCTCACAACTATTGCTTTCCCACTGTAGAGATGTGAAAACTGAGACATAGAAAGTTTACATTTAAGCTCATAGAGCTAATGAAGAGTAGCACTGGGATTTGAACCCAGAAAGTCTGACTCCTGAGACCTTATTCATAATCTCTGTACATACTACTGTGCTCTCGGCTATAGAAACAGGAGGGGAATGGCAAAGATGGTCACCGATAAATCAGGTTCTTACACAAGGCAGAATGGTTGCTCCGGTTAATTCTCAGCTCCCCCTGGAATGCTGGTCTTTGGGTCTGAACTGCTTTTGAGGCAGCACAAACCTTGAGGTGAGCATCCCTGTTTGCAGTGATCATCTGGGAGCCAGCATGGCAACAGGGGGAAGGAGGGATCGTAGTCAGAGACGTTGTACAGCGGAGCAAACCACATGACACAGGCATCCACTCGTGGGTTTTATGATAGGGGACTCTGGGCCTCTAGAACCTGCTCTTGCCCCATTCTTGCTAAATCCTCATCCTCCCTGAACTGCTTTTGACAGCCTGACAGAGCTGGGAAAGACTGAAGTGAGGGTGTATGGTTCTCTGACTTTCTCCTTAAGCAAAATAGAAATGATAGTTCTATTCTGTCATTTTGTATTATCTGTGCCTCTTTGTTCCCGTTAGTATGGAGCTAAGGATAAGCCCTCTTTTTTGTTAAAATACTTCTTTTCCACCGAAGCATAACATCTATAGCTCCTTCGTCCCTCTATGAATGATATAAACAAGCACGGGAAAACAACCCCACCCCATGCATTCAATAAGCAAACCTCTGAACTTCCCACATTATTTAGTGAGAGGATTCCCCCCCCCCGAATCAGACTTTGATCATAATGGTTAAAATAATCCTTGGCACTTTCTCTAAGCTTGCTCATTATCATTCAATATGTTCAACAGAATTATTAAATTTAAAATAATATGGTGCATCTGGTTGAGATGATGGTGAGAGATTTGGCTTCCTGTCTCTTCGTTAAGGATGAATTCAGCCCAAGGGTGTACTGTGAACTTGGCAAATAGCATTATAATAGTGAGAGAATGTTGCCTATTGGGTAGCAGGAGTTGATGATTAAATTTAAGTGTGTACTGTCCACATAAAACAAATAATGCTCTTTTTTTTCTAACTTTTACTGTGAACATTCATCACTGGTGCTGAAGATGCACAGTTGCTAATTATTGTGTTTTTAACTTGTAATATACTGTAAATTTTGTATAATACTACTGTGACCTTATACAGAGCAGAAAAGATGACAGGAGGCCTATAATTATTGTATAGGGAAGAAATGCCTATAATTATCTACTATTTTTAGGACCAGTGTGCATGGCCTCTTAATTTACATAAGCTTTAGACATTCACACATTTTCTGTCTTTGCTTGTGGATGATAAATTTTGCTCAAATGAAATCAGAAGACATACTGTTAGATGAGGAGTTAGCCAACTGGGAGCTTGATTACCATGAACAACACAAGCTTTGGTGCCAGCTAAAAAAGCGAGCATTTATTTGGGTGGGATTTGTTTAAGGCAAGCTTCAAAACATTAAAACAAAAACTCTACCATATTACTATATTGGAGCCTGATAACATGTGATTTTTTTAGAGAATTGGTTAAATTATCTTGTGGAAAAGCATTAACCTAACAAAGAGAAAACCTCTAGGATATTTATCACATATAGGGTGATTATGACAGCATGTTCTTATTAGAGAGGAATATTTTGTGCTCATTAAGGTTACCCCCTTGAGTGCTCAAGGATGCAGAGTGCATTGCAGTGAAGTACTGTGGTTCTATTGTCTTGTGAGCATTTGCTGTTGTTTGAGGGCTGGGGGGTGTCATTCCAAGTTAAGGGGCCCTCTCTAAAAGACCCAGCCCTGGCAGGGCCTGTATCAGAGCCACTGGGCTAGTGGAAGAGACTGGAAGATTTTCAATTCAAACATTCCAGGAATATATCTGCAAGAACTGAGGGTGATCTCTGGAACCCCCTGGTCTCCTCGTGTGGGATAGCAGGTGGGAAAGGTGGGTGGACTTGGTCCCTGAGGAGTCTACGGGTTGAACCCCACTTGAAGGAAATTCAATACTCAAGATTCAAAACTGAAACTACAGGTAAACTCCAACTCCCTACTTTATAAAGGGATTTTTTACTATTAAAAATAATTGAGAGTGACTTCCCCAAAGTACTAAGTTTTCCTGAAGCACACAGTATATGACTGTTTTTATTTTATTTGCTTTTTAGAAAATGTTACTACTTTTATTAACTGACTGAAAATTACACTTATGCAATTACAATTTAAAAGGTTGCATACAACTATAAAAAAATGTTCTAAGAAAGATATAACCTCACCCCAACTCTTCCCCCTCCCTCATTTTTAAAAAATCTAAGACATGGCAGAAAAGCACGTTTAAGGTTTTGGTTGGTTTATTGAGATGTTTTAGTGACAATGGATAGATCATTCTAAATCAGGGGTTGGCAAACATGCGGCTCTTTGGGTACATTCTGTCTCAAAAGTTTGCCAGCCCCTGGAAGAGCCAATCCTGTCCCTCACAACAATTTAAAAATTATTTGAGAGCCATAAATATATTTTTTTACATAATCACCATTATGTGAATAATATTTTTTTAACATTTTATAAATGAAACTATGATAGTTTTGTTTTCATTGTCAATTTTACTTCAGAACCACATGTACATACCCAAAGAGCCGCATGGGACTCGCGAGCCACAGTTTGCCGACCCTGTTCTAAATGATTAGGAGTAGGCAGGATGTTTAGATATGCCTGATGTCCAAGGGCTCAGAGCCCATAAATACCTGGGCTAGTCAATCTATAATTTTTTCAATACATACCTTTAAAAAATAAGGACACTGAAAAAAAACCATCATCATCACAATACTATTGTTACACCTAAAAAAATGTATAATTCCTTAACAGCAGTAAACTTGTATTGTCTGAGTAAATGAATGAATGGTGAAGCCTTGGGGAAAGTATCGTTGTTGGGGTGATCATCGACTGTATGGTCTGGTAGAAAGTACATTAGTCTGGACTTGGACTTGGACTGATATCGAAAGCTTTCTACATTTTGTTCTTGGTCCAAATGCCCTCAGTGTCTGGTCTAGAACACAGCACCTGCCCTGCACTCTCCCAAGGTTATTGTCGGGATCAGCAATCCAATAGGGAGCTGCGCTTAAGGGCAAGGACTTGGCAACTAGACAGGGATCCGCCTGCAGGGTCCCCACCATTTGCCTTCTCTGAGCCTGCGAAGTCATCTGTAAATGACAATAACTGTACCTGTCTCTCAGGGGTGTGCTAAGAATCACTGTATGTTAAGTAAACCTTCAGGAAAAGGTTTGTGTTGTTTTTATGTGAAATTGCTTTGGTAAATTAGAATACTATGCGAACTTATTATTATTAAAAGTAATGTTTTTCATGTCCTTTATATTCCCAGTCTTTGAAACTGTCTTCCTCTTCAAGGTGCTTTAGCAGTGATTAAAGAGATGGAATTGTTTTAGTGCTCACCAAATGAGGCCCCTTCTCACTGTCAGGAGGCCACTCTGGTTTGACTTGCTTTCCTCAGCCCTGGCACTGGCAGAGCGCCGGCTAGAGGAGAGGGCCCCAGATGAAAGACATCCTGGCAGTGAGAACATTAACACTCACTCTTGAGCCAAGAGGTAGGTGTTAATATCTCTAGCTGGATTCCTGGCATCAGAGATATTTAACACCTTCCTAGGATTCAGGACCCAGGCACTTTCTCTTTAAACCTAATTTGGCAGGTAAAATGGAGAGACAGCATTTCCAGTGGAGCCGTTGAGAAAGTAAAGGAAGTTCTGTGCCATAAAGACAGAAGCCAGTTACCACAGGGAGAACCCTAAATGGAGAAGGGGTCTTCTTTAATGGGGTTGTCCGGAGAGTGACTCTGGTGGGACTTTTCCCCACAAATCTCATCCAGTACGGGCCAATGGGGATGTTAGGAATGTAGTGACCCTGGGACAGGGTAAAGACGTATGGAGTCACGACAGGCTGGAAATCCAAGCCTGGACGCAGCCTGAAACACGATGCTGTGACTAGCATGGTTGCCTGAGTGATTCTGTTCCCAGGAGGACCAGGGGTTTCTTCCTAGGGGAGGTGGGGGCAGGTGTAAATGGGGGAACTCAGAGGAACCAATTCCTCAGGAGAAAGCACAAGGAGTAAAGTGCCTCAACCAAGCTGCCTTTTGAAGCTAAGCCCAACTAGCCTGGGGTCAGTTTGGAGGATGCTACGGATGTTTTAGCCACAAAGTTCATGGTGGAAGTCAGGCAACTGCAAGAATTAATAAAAACTCCTTTTCTTGGCAGGGTTTGACTGACAGCAGTGGTGAATTTTGACTTAGACTGAGTTGAAATGTGCTTCTTCCCTTTCCAAAGCTGAGGCCCATTTGCACAACAAGCAAAAAAGACAAGGTAAACAACTTCTATTTAGGCTTTCCGAGGTCTGTTTGTCTGGATGACATTGCAAGAACTCTGTGACACTACCTCACCTGGGAGGGAACCCAAACACTGGGGATCCTTTCAACATCCAAAAAGGATCACTCCTTTGAAATGTGACGACTCCCTAGAATGACTTTCTCATTTAAATTACATGGATATCAGAGGAGCCCAAGCCAGAAGGTGAAGTAGAGCAAACTCACACTCTTTGACTACAAAAGAAAATGCATATTTTTGATGAGCCTGCACCGGCTGCCTTCTTAGGCTTAGAATGATGTTTTTGTCCCCTTTTTTGCCTACGAGGAATGTTGTAAGTAAGCATAAACAAATGCCTTCATTATTTATCCCAGTCATGCTGCACTAAATCATTTTCCATGGGAAATATGCTATTTTGTTTGGCTGGCAATTGCTTAAGCTAATAGGCTATGAGAGCCTTCCTTGGAGTTAGCACTTGGAATTATTCTAGTGCAAGTGAACACTCATTAGACTAAAAGTTAGAGCCATGATAGTGGGTAAAAAAAAAAAAAATCCTCCATTGCCGTGACTTCTGGCACCTGAAACCCAGGTTCTATTGTGAAAGTAAAAATGATCCCACTCCCCTTGGGCTGTGGTCAAGTGTGCCACACAGACCTGAATAAATGTATGTCTCTCTTGGAAATCAGACTAATCCAAGTGTTTTTCAGAGTGATCACCCTTGATAGAGAAGAATTGTTAAGCAATAGCAAGTTTTCCAAATGAAAACTCTGGCTTGGTTGATTGTTAAATATTATGTTTTGTACCGTGCTAGCAAAGTCATTGAACATTCTGTCCCCACATCCCTTTCGTGAAACTCCCAGAGACTAGGCTAGAGATACAGGTGGAGTGGACATCTAGCCATCTGTGTCCAAGCCAGCAACCTTCCTGATTCTGTCAGTGGCATCACCACTGTCCTAATTACCCAGCCCTATGGACACCTGTTCCTAAAGATTCATCCTTTATTGTTCCTCCCAAATATTACTGGGCCTTTTCACCTCCATGAACATCACCCTAGTATAGATCCACAGCCCCAAATGACCATATGTACCCCAGCTCATCTTTCTGCCACCACAATGCAGGCAACACAGTGCCTTCATATTTATTTATTTATTTATTTATGTGGGCTGGGTACTCTGCTAAGTGTTTTACATGGGTCATTTGATTTAATGCAAACAACCATGCTAAGAGGTAAGTACTCTTTTTATGTCAGGTGCTTTACTCAAGGTCGCATGGTGAGAGGAGCTGGAATTTGAATACAGGTGTTGTAAACTGATTGCATTTATGGCCCCAATTCTTCACCACTTCCTGTATCCTTGTTTTACCATGTGACTTGGCAGTTCTTTTATCAAGAGCTGGAATCCATTCCCCCATTCCATGAGGCTGAGCTCAACAATGGGACTTGCTTTGGTGACTGGGATGACAGCAAATGCGATACAAGCAGAAGCTTAAAGAAATGCTTGCCCCGTGTTGTTTGCACTTTTGTTTTCTGCCATGGCCATGATGGAAAATGTCCAGGTCAGCCTGCTGGAGAGCTAAAGACCCACTGAGCAGATTCAGACCACCCCAGTTGTCGCAACCTTGGTCATCTTAGATCAGATGACAGCCAGACAAGACAGCAAAGTTGTCCAGCCTCCTAGACTCCCAAATTCATTACACAATAACTTTTGATCATCTTCCTGTTAAAAACCAACCTACCAACCAGTTAATCAACCTAACCATTCTGTTTCCTTAACTCCATGCTGCCTAAAAGATAAAGTATAGACTTCTGGATTCCCGTCCAGCATGTAAGGAGCATAGGAGCCATGGATTTGTCCAAACAACAAGTAAAAAGTGGAACAAACCAAAAAAATCAATAACTCTTCTTAGATCCATTAGAGAAGTGAGGTCACAGGGCAAACCACTGCCTCCAAAATTGGAGAGATAGATAGGCAGATACAGTGAATCACAATTTACCTGAGCAGAAACCAGTGCTGGAGTAGGACAATTTGAAATGTAATTGACAAATTACTGAAAGCTTATAGTTTTGTAAGTTTTACCTCCTGGAACTCTATCAGGTTCTCACAGAGAAAACTGGAGAAAAATCAAAATTTCCCTTGTGCTTCTGGCAGGGCGAGAGGGAAATTGGCCGTATTGAAATACACAGAGCATTCTGTTCTCCTTAACAAGGCCTGCCCTTAAGAGAAACTGTTTACCAGAGCCTAACCTACTGGGGTTTTGATGGAGCCTAACCAACCTGGGGGAAGGGAAATACCTAACTCCAGCCACCTCCAGTGGTTCTATCCCACCACAGAGGGGAAGGTGAGGGGTGGGGAACTGAGAGGCATTTGTGAAGTTCACAGCCCTAGGGGCACAGGCTAATTGTAGGAATATAGAATGCTTCCCCTCCCCCCTGCACCTTGCCACAACATGGCTAAAGGCCTATTTACTACCAGTTCCCTTGCCCAGTACATCATGTTCAGATTTCACCAAAAATTTACAAGGCATAGTCAAAGAAAAAGCAAACAAAAACAGTTTGAAGAGACAGAGCAAGTATTAGAATGAGATTCAGATATGGCTGGGATGTTGGAATGATGAGACTGTGAATTTAAAACAACTATAACAAATATACTAAGGGCTCTAATGAAAAAAGTAGACAACATGTGAGAACAGATGGATAATGTAAGAAAAGACATGAACATTCTAAGAATAAAAAGAGAAATGTTAGAGTTCAAAAACACTGTATTAGAAATGAAGGATGTCTTTGCTGGGCTCATTAGGAGACTGGACATGGCCGAGGAAGTATTCTCTGAGCTTGAGGGTATGTCACTAGAAACATTCAAAACTAAAAGTAAAGAGAAAAAAGACTGAAAAAAAAATGGGACAGAATATCCAAGAACTGGGAAAATTACAAAAGGCATAATGAGAATACTAAAAGGAGAAGAAAAAGAGTAAGGAAGGAACAGAAGAATTGTTTCAAGCAATAATGATGAGAATTTCCTCAAATTAATGTTAGACATCAAACTACACATCGGGAATCTCAGAGAACACGAAGGAGAATAAATGTAAAGGAAAAACTACACTTAGGCATAGTCTATTCAAACTGCAGAAAATTAAAGATAAAGGAAAATCTTGAAAGAAGGCATAGGGGAAAAACATCTTCCCTATAGATGAGCAGACAAAAATTACATCTGACTTCTCAAAAACCAAGCAAGCAAGAAAAGACTGTGATGCTGAGAGAGAGAAAACCCCACCAATTTAGTGCTTGTGAAATTTTCCTTCAAAAGGGAAGCAAGAATAAAGACTTTCTCAGACAAACACTGAAGGAATTTGTTGCCAGTAGACCTGTCTTGCTAGAAATGTTAAAAGAAGTTCTTCAGAGAGATGGAAATTCATATAGGTCAAAACCATGAATCTAAAGAAACAAAGAGCATTAGAGAAGAAATAAGTGAAGGTAAATAAAAACTTTATTTTTATTATTCTTAATTAATCTGATAACAATTTGTTCAAAATAAAAACAACTATGTACTTGATTATATATGCTTATGTCTGCATATATACTATACTCATATATACCGGGGGTGCCAAAAAAATGTATACAAGTGGACACTTTGGTCAATGTTGCTCAAGCAGTAGTTCGCCGTGATCAGAAATGTCTGGACGTTGATGGTAACCACTTTGAGACCTCTTGTAATTGCAGAAGTCACACGTGACTTGTATTCATCTTTTATTATCGGTGTTTATTGAGTATTTCAATTTTAACAGTTTTTTTCTTTCTTAAAATGTGTATACAGCAGTTTGGGGAATATAATCAATAATGTAAATATTTTGTAGGGTGTCAGATGGACACATGTCTTGTTAGGGAGATCACTTCATGGACAGTGTAGAGGCTTGACCACTGCACTGTACACCTGAAGCTGAAGTTGAATAATATTGTATAATATAATTTTGTCAACTATAATTTAATATATATATATATATATATATATATATAGTCATGGGATGTGAAGTATAGTGTGGGAAGTGGAGTCAATGGAATTGTAATAGATATGTATGATGTCAGGGGGGTGGATTGAGGGAAGGGGGTTGTCACTTTGTGAGGGGTGAAAAGTATAACTATTGTTTTGTACACCTGAAACTAATAAAAAAAATGTGTATACATTTGTTTGGCACCCTCTGTGTGTATGTATATATATATATATATATATATATATATATATATATATATGAAATGAATGACAGCAATGATATGAGACATGGGGAAGAGGAACTAGGGATATATTGTATTAAAATGTATAGTGTTATTTGAAAGTGGATCTGGATTCATTGTAAATATATATTGCCAATTCCAGGCAACCACTTAAAATGTTTTTAAAAAGAAATATAATTGATATGTTAAGAAAGGAGATACAAGGGAATCATATAAAATTTTCAACTAAAATCACAAAAGGCAGAAAAAGAGTGGAAGACAAATATAAGAGCAAAGAACATAGGGCAATGATAGAAAACAGTAACAAATATAGTAGAGGTGAATTCAACTATACCAACAATCACTTTAAGCAGTGGTTTAAATACACTTATTAAAAGACAAAGATTGTTAGAGTGAATCAAAAAAGAAGAGCCAACTATATGCCATCTACAAGAAACCCACTTTAAATATAAATAAACTTAAAGATTAAAAGTAGAGGTACGGAAAAAGATAGATCATGCTAACACTAAATTTAAAATAGCTGGAATGGCTATACTAATTTCAGACAGAGCAAACTTCAGAGCAAGGAAAATTATAATGATAAAGACGGGAATTACACAATGATAAAGGAGTCAATACTCTAAGAAGACATGCAATCCTTAATTTGTATATGCCTAGCAACAGAGCATCAAAATGTGTAAAACAAAAATTGATAGAAATGCAAGGAAAAATAAACGAATCCACTATTATAATTGAGACTTTAACATTCCTCTATCAGGAGTGGACAGATCCAGCA